CCCTGGCGTCCGTCCTGGGGGAACCCCACGCAATGGACTTTGCGTTGAAGTCCCCCAGAACAAAGACGTGCCCAGACGTTAGTCGCCGCATCGAGGTCTCCAGGTTGTTGAGGAAAACCTCGAAGTCGCTCAAACTCCGCTTGGGGGAGAAATAAACACCATATATGGTGATCCCCCCCCACTCGGCGGCAACATATCCAGTGCCCTTGTCTCTTAGCGACAAGGGCGGGGAATGAGCCGCCGTGGAGCCGACGACTGCCACGGAGGCGTCCCGGTCACCCATCCAGTTTGGACGGGGAGGGACAGAATAGGGCTCCGCGACTACGGCAACACCTATCGACCACTGTGCCATGGTTTGCAGGAAGAGATCCTGCGCCGCGGCACAGTGGTTCAGGTTCGTCTGGACCAGGAGGTTGGAGACTTGATCCATTACTGGATCGTCTCTACAACCTCCTCCATGGGCGACGACGTCGACGCACGAACTATATCGGAGGCAGCCTGGGTCGACTGGCTAACCCCCGACGTCTGCCGAGAACTGCGGGGAGGCTTGCAGCCTCTCTGCCCCATCTGGTGATTGGCGGGCTTATTGCCCGCCGCACACACTGGGCAGTGAGGGGCGGCAGAGCATTCTGCCGCCTTATGCCCCGGTTGACCGCAGCGGAAACACAGTCCGCCGCAGTCAAAACAACTGTCGCACTTGACGCGCGTGTGTCCCGTGGCCAGGCATTTAAAACACCTCATCGGTCTCGCCGCCAGGACTGTGATCCTGGCGCTCACGAAACCGATGAGCAGCCTGCCGGCGTCGGCCAATACCTTGGCCGACGCTACGGGACAGCTGACCCACACGGCGCCAAGCCCTCCTGGACCGGGGCGGATGGTGCCGACCCTGACGTTGTCCACGCTGCACCCCGTCTTCTCCCGGATTACAGCGCGGACATCTTCGGCCGTCACTGAGTCGTCCAGGCCCGAGATGCGCAGTTCCGCGCACTTGGTAGGCCTGGCGACCCTGACACCATCAGTGGCCGCAAATATTCCCCGCAGCCTCTCGGCGAAGGAGTCCGCCGTCTTTGCGCCTTCAGCCCCAGGGAACTCGAGGACTCGAGCTCCCGTCTGGGCGAGGCGCATCCTGACCCCCACCGTTCCAAAGTCGTTAGCGAGGCTGTCCCGGGCCTTCTTGAAGACGGCCGCATAGGACAGCCCGCCGTCAGCCGCCTCCGGGGACACGGTCACCACTACCGCCGCGGTTTTGGGCGGCTGCAGCTTCCGCGGCCTCTTTGCAGAGGCCGTTGCCACCGGTGGCGAAGGCAGGGCTTGGGCTGCTCTTTGGGCAGCCTTTTTGGCCCGCCTTCGGGACTTCTTGGAGCCCCTCGCCTCCTGCCAGCCCTCGTTGGAGGGGGCAGGTGCGGAGGGGCCCGGCAGGGGTGTCGGAGTGGGGAGCGGAGGGAATGCCACTCCGCTCCTCGGCGCCGTTTTAGGCCCCGTCTTGGCCGGCGCCTGGGGATGTGCCTTGGCCGGCGCCTTAGCCGGTGCCTTGGCCGGCGCCTGGGCCGGTGCCTTGGCCCCCCTCCTCGTCGGCTTTTGTGGGGCCGATGGAGTAGGGGCAGACGCCGCCGCCGCGTAAGAAACGCGGCCTCCCACAACGGGGAGCGCGGTCGGAGCGGTGGCCTTAGGCCGCTGTGCCGACGCGAGCGGGGGGCGCATAATCGGCGCAGGGGGCAGTCTCGCCTCCAGGCCAGCCAGGCGTCCGTCCAGCATATTCCCAACTGCGATGAGGATTTCTCGCAGTTGGGAGTCAAATGCCCCTGGGTTGGTGGTAGGGGCAGGCTGGGACGCGGACGGGGCTTCCCGCTCGGGGAGGTTCGCCTGGAAGCGGGCGAACTGAGCGCTCAGCTCGTTCACCCGCTCCGTCAGCTTCTCGTTGGCCACCTGCAGGCGAGAGACGTCGCCCGCTAGGCCCTCCACGACCTCCGACAAAGCGGAGGAGGAGTCCTTAAGGGCCCTCACAAACGAGCCCTTAAGGTTCACGGATTTGGTGGCCACCTTGTTGATGACGGCCACCGCCGCTTTCGCCCTCTCCTGCACGGACACGGGAGCCTGGGGGGCATTTCCCCCCACCGGCTCCCGAACCTTGAGCAGGAGATCCGCGATCTCCTCCTCCGCTACGGCCTCGCCGTCCACTCGTACGCTCCTGTAGGACTCCGCGTTTGAGAACGCGGAGCCTGACGGGGTCGAGACCGAGGCCGAGGCCGGTTTACGCGCCCTCCCTCGGCGGCTGCTTGCCACCTTTGGTGGCATCATTTCGCCGGACGTGTCGGTCCCCTCCTCCCTGGAGCGTCCGCGTTTCCTGCTGTCGCTTCGTTCCGCCTCCATGGCCTCCGCGCCATCCGACGAAACAGCGGATCCAGAACGTATACGATCCGATGCTCTTCGGCTCCCAGTGACCAGAGTCAGACTGACCTCTGGGAGCCCCATCGAGATAGGCGTTCCTGACACCATCTCACCCTCAGTGGACGACCCATCCGCTCCACTGTTCTGCTTTTCCTTCCTTCGCTGTGCTTCCTTTTCCGTTAGGCTTGCCTGTTTTCGTTGTGTTTGTCCGATCGTTTTCTTTTGGTTTTTGTTAGCATTTTCCATAGTAAATCCCACGAGTGGGGGAGAACTAAAGGTCCACCCGGGCAGAGATCCCCCATTACCCGGGCAAGCGTAAGTTTTTAACCCAACCGAGGGGTCCGCAGGTACCTCGGCTTGGAGTGCGCTCGCGACTGAACTTCCCATCAGCCATGCATCCCCTGGCCACGCACCAGAACACGGGATTCGGGGAATTTTTTAGAGAGGTTATCTTCCTCGCGGTCCGGGCAGTTAAGCCAAGACCCTCGCCCCCGATCAGAGCCGCGAGACTTAACCACAGCGCTCTTCTCGGGATTGCGATATGCCGACGGTTGACAGGGAGACTACGTCCCCCTGCCTGCTCGGTGGTAGTGTCAGTACACGCCGAGCCCGTCCTCCTTTCTCCACCGCGATCAGCGGAGAAACTGTGGCCCCTACAGGGCCCCGCCATCAGGTTTTTTACCGAGGTTTCCTCCTCCATGCTCCGAAGAGCGAAGAGCCAGCAGGGCAACCGGCAGACACGCCCACCCTGCTGGACCAGGCCTTGCCCGAGAGCCGATGAACGGCTACCTCTTCTGCTAGAATATTGGCCGCTGGCGATAATCCTCTCCTCCAAGAGGACAAGGAGGGAACAGTACCATCGCCAGCGTTTCCAGGGTGCACCACGGGGAGGTTTTCTAGCCAGCACCCCAATTCTCCCGTTACCTACTCTAACTCCGTGGTTTCAGAAACACGGAGTTAGAGTAGGTAGGTAGTTAGTTAAGCTTATTTTATTTTGGCACTGTATTACTTTTTGGTAAAATATGCCGAATATTTTATAATTTAGATATTCTAAATATTCATCCAGAGATAGCCCCTGACGTCTGAAAAATTATCACCCGATTTGCCAATAAATGTAGAAGAATTTAATTTGTCTAATAATGTGTGCAATAAACTCTAATTTACTCGACATATTTTTTTTTTAGTGACCCCCTCCGAAATTTCAGGCTGCGACCGCGCCTGCTTACATTGGCTGTTTAGACGTTTAGTCAAAATAAACTTCCGCGCTACCTGTTCCAGGGTTCATCCCTGGAACAGGTAGTACTGCACTTGTTACCCTGACCCTAGATAATCATAATTACGAAGTTAGGATTTATTGTGTAGTTATAGCCCGGACTGATGGGAATCAATGTAAGTAAAAGACAATCTTCCTCTATCCTGATCATAGGGTTTGCAAAGAGTCGGCAATCTGCGTAGGTTGGAATAGTTTACTTATAGTTAAACCGCCGTAAGCTTGGCCCTCCTGATGGTTTGCGGGACGCGGGGCGGGTGATGCGCTCGGCTATACTGCCGTGCTAAAGATAAGAGCGACAAGTGCATGACAGCAAGTTCCTAGAAAATGGCGCCTAAAGTTTTAAAAATTAATTCTTCGATTATGGATATAAAAATATTGTTTATTTAAAATTTGTTGTATTCTTACCGTGGTTAAAAGGTAGTATTTTGTATTCATTGCTATTTAAGAACTTTAAGTAATAAATTGATAATAAAAAAGATATAAAAATGTGATATGACAAGGAAATGCGACGTATGTTTTAAAACAAATACTTATAATAAGCGTCGTAAGTAACACAGATAGTGCGCTTATACTATGGAACTTATTTTAATGCGCTTTTGACAGCGAAAAATGAGTACTGAGTATAAGTAATGATAAGCATAACCGCCGTAACGTTGACATTTAGGGCTCTTATGGTAAGAAACTCATCATCATCATCATCATCATCAACAGCCTTTAACAGTCCACTGCTGGACATAGGCCTCTCCTTAGAAAGGAGGTTTTGGCCTACTATACCACGCTGGCCAGACGGGTTGGTAAGAAACTCAAAGTACTAATTTTCTGTGCGTTTACGGCACCGAGTGCAAATATGCCAACTTTCAGCTGTCAATGTATGGATAAACCGACTGATATTATAATAATTACATTTGTAAATATTGTATACACTAATAAAACAATCAATTTTTATGTGTGTATTAAAACGGAATTTATTAAAGTAACATTTTGAAACGAAATTACCTCGTACATCTTACAATTAAAAACAACGACTTAATTCTATTATTGGCACTTTCTGAGATCACAGTAACTTGGCAGTCTTACATATATGTACTTTTTTAAAGTATTCAGTGAAATTACTAATTAATCTTATTTTAATAAGCTTAGTAAATACACATTTAAGGACGTGGCATGGCTCCCTTTTACAAGAATATAATTATAAAATCGGTAATATATATTAATAATCTGTTAAATCTTATAGTTTGTTCGACGCTTAAAAATCTAAAAAAAAATAACACTTCTTATAATATCTTATAAAAACAAAAAATAAAATAAGTCTTTGGAAATTCTAGGCCGTTATATAAAGCTAGTCCTCTTCCAAAAGATTTTTAACAGTCTCATTTGTTGGTACGTTAATCCAGAACTGTTTCCTGTTTGCCGGCATTAACGGGACTAACTTTTCAATAATGGCTGCTTTGCGTTCTTCAGCTATACCCCTTGGCAAAGTTTTTCTTTGAATTTCAGGGAATTGTTCATTTTTCATGATTTTTACTTGAAGAAAATCTAAAGGTTCTGATTTGTATTGATCAGCATGATTAAATTTGTATTTTAATTTGAAAAGGCCTCGTTCAACACTTACAGCCATTTGTGCTGAGAAGATAAATCTTCATAGGCGATAAAGTCATCAACATTCATTACTTTTACTATATTCTTCCTTTTATTGGCGTTGCCGACACACTCCACAAAATCGTCGAAATCATAAACCTTTCCCTTTTTTGTCAGGGATTGTTCCACTTGGTGATGGAAACTGTCTGCGGACATAAATGTATGTCCCGGTTCAAAATATTTTAATGTTATACTCTCAGCTAAAATGTCTGTACTATTCACTATTTGTACCATAAAACATAGAAGTGACCAGTTTTTGTTTTACGCAGAACAGTTATCGAGCCAGAGTACAATATTTTTTTGGTCCCTTTTAATGTTCAAAAATGCCTTGAAAGTAGAAATTATATCCTCTTGACTACGACCGGCAACACTCTCGTTCCATAACACAGCATACGGTTTGTTATCCTTAGTTGCGGGTCCTAGTGGTACAAAGCTTTCATTGAAAGCAATTAACCGCGGGCAAAAAATGGCAGTCTTGAATTGATCCATTCTTGGCAACATAATAATTTTTTGAAGGTCAACGGAATAATAAATTACTTCTGTGTCAGTCTTTGCTTTCTCTCTATCTTCGTTGTATTCTTTGCGGGACTCTATGTATCTGGGCTTGTGTTGCATATTATAATTTTGGCATATCTCGCAAGATTCTTCTTGATGGTCTAATCGATTGTGACGCTTAAAATATTCACATTCTTCACATTCTTCATTACCAAGGTGTGCAAAAAAATTTTCAGGTCATTTCTTACTACTTTTCTATAAACTTCAAGAGAAACTTTTATATCCGGCCTTGTAGAGCAAAAATTTTCATGCATCATTGTGATAGTGATATCACTGGGAAGGTACAATTTTTTGGGTGCATGTTCTCGTCTATAATGTGAAATAGCGGGGTGATACGACATGATATGATCTTTTATAGCTTGTCTATCGATTATGGTTCTTTTGTAGGATCCTCGAGTCGTTTTTTGTTCATCAATAGCTTTACTCATAGCAGTTGTGATCCTTCTATCATTGTTAGGCTTATAACCCAACGTCGAAAGAAAAAACGTCTTACAAACTTCTTTTTTAATGTTATCAGGTCCCTCTAAATTATAAATATATGTTGTTTTTCTTTTGTAGTCTTCTGTAACTTGGGATCTGCGCATTACAGGCTTAACATCGATACAACATTTAATAAATAGTCCTTGTGATTCGTAATCAAGAGCGATATATCTGTCGTGTATATCTTGGCGTACCTGAGGTGTGAATTTAGTTACACATTTCTTCATACATTTTTCAGTGCATGGATCTTTCAAATCATTTTGCTCATTTCTGACCTTTTTCTTTTTTTCTTGTCTTTCCTTTACAGATCCATTGAATTTTTGCCTTTTGCGAGGCCTACCATCTTTTGTAAGTCCTTTGTTTTCTTCTGTATTTGTTAATTCATGAGGTGTGATAGTAGCATTTATTAAATCTTGCGAGTGTGCGGTGCTATTTTCTGTTTCAATATGAAATTGTGTTAAAATATTAGAGTCCATTACACTAATTGAAGTTGAAGTATCATTCATTATAAAATTGCTTTCTTTAATTATTTGCGACATTGTATTCATACTGGTACCCAAAGTCATTCTGTCATCAATTGCTGAGTTATCCATTGTTATGTCATGTAATATTAATGGTGAATGTGGTTTACGTTCCCTAGATTTTTTGGTGAATATTTCGTCTTCGCCTGAATCTGCATCTGAAGTCTCGGGAATATATGTTTTGTCCTTATCATCGTCGGAGTCATGGAAAATATCAATATCTTCTTCATGAATATTTTTGTTTTTTGAAAATGGGGACAGCTCTATTACTTCTTGACATAGCAAAAACTCAGCACAAGCTGTCTCATTACTACCGTAAAAATTAAACGATAACTTCAATTCTGACAGGTTATAAGTTTGTAAATATTGATTTAATGAATTTTCATATTCTTTAGAGTAATCAAAAACAACGCTGAAGTCTTTAAAATCCAATTCTCGGCTCCATAAGTCATTAATATTAGTTAATTTAGGTTTTGTGATTATAGCTGGCAGGTTGGTAGGGCTGGCATGCACTATAGGTTTAGGTCTTATTGTTAGCGGCAGTTGCATTATAGTAGCAGCCTTGTTTTTGCTGCTGGGTTGATGCTCTGTTGTCAGAGCAAGTATCTTATCACGTCTAGCACCAGATGCCCACATAACCTGCATCAAAAAAATAATGACGTGAAAAAAGAATAATACATAAATATTCTACTACACACACCTTCAAGCCCAAATTAATAAAATATATATTACAATTCAATACTTACATTGTTTAGAATTTGTCATTATGGAATTTATAAAAATATGTAAGAAAGATACCGCGTATTTTTGAGATTTTACAAAACAAAAATGGCGGGACCGTGGCTCATGCAACGTGGATAGTTAAATACGTTTCGCATTAAATTTTGTTATGAGAAATATCAAAAATGAGTATTTTATGTATACGTTGTTTCTTTAAGAAAATGCATTTTTATTAATTTTAATAGTATTGATTATACTTACGAAATAATGTTTTACCGCCAATTCCGCCAGATCACCGCACGCAACAACGTGCTCTTGGGCTTGTCAACAAGCAACTGAACGAATGAAATGAAAGATCGTTGATGCGCGACTCCCGCTCCTCCGCTTCCTCTGCCCCCATTTTTAATGCAAAACACCGCGCAATAACACAAACGGGGTAGTGATTTAATTTCGAGTACCTTGCCAAAAGAGCTGTACACGACGCGCGACGCACGGTTACAATTAACTTATAAGAGAAATTTCCTTATTATTACCGCAGTAACACGCAGTTGTCGCTCATGAAAATAAAACAACGTATCTATTGCATTCCAATTTCTTGTAATAAGCGTCGTAAGTGCACATACGGCTGTTATTATTGTAACTCAATGGAAATCAATTAATACAGTTTTCTTATTATAATCGCCGTAAGTGGCGATTAAAGCACTTATGTTAAGGAAAAAGACTCATCAATAATAGGGATTGCATTAATATCAGAGCAGTGTTAACCGATACCGCGGTTAAGATAAGTACTACATGAATAATAATCTGGCGCTTTAGAAATCTATAGCAGTATCCAGCACTTGCGGCTGAGATATTAAGGAAATTATTTTCCTTTTTGTAGTTACTGCGCTTATACAAATCAAAAATCATATCAAACAAGCATTTTTTTACAAACCGTCAAATACAAAGTTATAGATCTCGATACGGCGATTCCGAATATGTAACTAACTCAATTTGGTAAAAAATGTTGGATACGGCGGTTATAATAAGCACGGCAGTATACATGACACGATGTACTAACTCGATATCTTCAGATTTATTTGTTTGATATATAATCTACACACGATGTAATAAAAATCGAATTTATTTCCATGTATTATAATGTCAATGTATTGTAAGTTTTTATGATTAATTGTAAAATTTAATACTGTAAAATAATTTTATTAAAATCACCTTATCACAACAATACAATTTTACAATTTAAAAATTAAGTAAAATAATAAATATTCTTTATTAGAACTTTAACAGTATAACCTCTGTAAGCCGAACTTCAAGTTTTTAAATCTTTTTGTGACGCAGAGTCGGCAGATTATCCATATTGCAAAATAATACCGTGTGTAGCAGTCTTAAGAAAAATAACACGTACAGCCATGCTTTCACGTCAGTCACTGCCGGCGGACAGTGACGCACTAGCTAATTGGTTGAATGCACCCCCGCCCCGCGTCCCCCAAACCATCAGGAGGGCCAAGCTTACGGCGGTTTAACTATAGTATTAGGGGTTAAAGTATGAAATTGTTACTAAAAAATTGAAACTCGTTTTTTTCTAAAATGTAACATATTTATTTAATCAAAATATTTACCCTCATTATCTATACATTGTTGCCATTTAAAGGGACCCAATGGCTGACCCATTGCATTTTTCGCTAACGGTTATCGTAAACAATCCACTTTTCGTCACATGTTACAATTCGATCCAATATTCCTTCATTTCTGTACCGATTCAACAAGGCAACACAAGTTTCAACACGCATTTATACGCAAAAATTTTAAAATTTTATTTTTTTTACGCATTTTTTTTTTTTGACGACCGAATGGCGTAGTGGTTTGTGTAACGGACTGCTATTCCAAAGGTCGCGGGTTCGATTCCCGCTCAAGTCAAACATTTGTGTGCATGAACATTTAATGTTTGATTTGGTCTGGGTGTTTCTATGTATAATAAGTATGTATTTACAAAAAAAAAAGTATATATGTATTTATATCAGTTGTCTAGTACCCATAGTACAAGCTCTGCTTAGTTTGGGACTAGATGGCGTTGTGTGAATGTGGTACAATATTATTATTTTTTATTATTATTTCTTTCTGCAGATCAGTCAAATCATGAGCCACTTATTTTTCATATTTTTTTATCTTATTGATTTGATGCAAATGAGTCATGATTGTAGTTTGACTCGGCTCGGCTTCCACCATCTCCTTCAATTCAGCGTTTTTCACCTGTGTGGTTCGTTCTTCAAGTCGAAGTTTCCATTACGAAAGCGTTTAAACCAAAAACGTACGGTGCGTTCATTAGTAATCTCCTCTCCAAACGCAGCGTTGATAATATGAGCCGTATCTGCAACGTTAGTTCCGCGTCGGAACTAGTATTAAAAAATGACTCGGATTTTCGAAGTATCCATCTTTCTTTCTAAGCTGAATAAAAAAAAAACAATTATTGAAAATCAAAAATCGAATGTCGCACATTTTTTAAAAGAATAACCTCACAGGTATGATGTGAAAAAAAGTTTCACACGAAAATCACACCATGAAGGTTTTATGTCAATTCAAAGTATCTATTACTGTACAACTGCAATTTCATACTTTAACCCCTATTACTTGCCAGCGGTGTCGTGGTCGGTGTGGTGACGGATTAAGAATACGGAGTGTAAGACCGACTAAGGGAACAAACTACGCAGGATAACAGCATTGCAAAGAGAAGGAAAACTTGACACAAACCCTATACCAACCCGTCTGGCCAGCGTGGTATAGTAGGCCAAAACCTCCTTTCTAAGGAGAGGCCTATATCCAGCAGTGGATTATTAAAGGCTGTTGATATGATGATGTGACTTGCTAGCGGTTTAAGAAAAATGAAAAGAATTGGTTAATAATTTTATTTATTTAAGTAGTTGTATGACATAGATAGCAATTGAGAATACATAGTAATATATAATGGAATACATAGTAATTAAAGTTCTTATGTATGTTCCACGACATTCTCAACATACCAACTAGGTAAAATTATATGTTCTTCATCATCCGTTTGGTATGCTCTCCACTTGTGCCTGTGATCGATATCCAACTTCAGTGTTAGTGGCACCTTACAATCATAGTTTTCCCCCAGTCTCGCCTTCGTAAGTTCAAAAGCATGTTTAACGAAATTTAAAACGTCGTTTAGGTAATTAATAGTTTTTTGAGAAGACCATTTTGTCTGAAAAAAAAAACATTACAAAGTATTTTTTTTTCTCTCTTTCCCTCTGTGCGGTGAACTGGCGTCTTAGTTTGTGTTTTATATTATTTTATTCTTATTAAAATATATAGGCTATATACATATTATGAAGCTAAATAAAACTATGATTCCATTAAAAATACATTACTGTCCTAAAAAAGTACGGCATAATGTATATTACAAAAATTAATATCACATCAGATGTATACGATTGACCCAGCTGGGGAAAAGGTTCGGACACAGCGTGCGAAGGTATCATTAGTAGGTACTATCGTCTGTCTTCGGCGGTAGTTTATCCCTAATACTCTGTACCCATGTCGACAAATATGACAATATAGTATTAAGATAGTCAATTGATTTTATTATGACGTAACGATTTACGTTATTTAATCGCATAGACGCCGGTCCAAACGGATATTTGGTTTCATGTTTTCACTTGAATGTCTTCTACAAACCGATGTAAAATAGTCTTAATAATGTTGAATCAGAGTAGTTTTTTCTGTTCAATAATAGGTATTTTTATTGCGGTATTTATTAATTTATTAAAGTGCTAAATGCTTTATTGCCTAGTAGCGATGTGCACGGGAAATGAGAAATCATCATTCAGTATAGTTTAGGATCGTGAAGACTATTCCTGATTAGCGAAGTAGATATAATTAATATAGGTAAATTACTTTTACCATCCCTTTCTGTAACGTCTTAATAGAATAAGTTAGGTACCTACCGAACAAACGCGTGGAATGCCACCTGTGTCACAAAACTGTACTCTATGAATTATGCCATCAGAATTTCGGAATCCCAGTAGCAAACCCTTCAGACCAGCCAGGTAACATTGACACCAACATCTTAATAATTTGTATTTCCTGAAACCATAACCAGGCTAGGATTATTACCTTCGAGTGTAAAGTTTTAGGACTTCGTATGTACAAATAGTTCCTTTTATTACTTTGACCTGAAGGTCAATTTTCTTAATAAAAATTCGTTACTCATATATAAATGTCATAAAGGTAAACTTTACTAGTATAAGCGTCCAATGTTGTCTGTAGTGTGATTAAATCGTATCGTGACCGAAAGTTAATCGTTATTCTGCTAGTCTAAGTAATATTTTACTACGAAAATAACCTTTAACATAATCGTGAGATCGAAAGGTCGGGACTTAATTTTGAATTTTTATTACGAAAATTTTATTGACATTCAGACAAGTTTACAAAGCTGGCAACACTCAAAAGTCCTTAGTAGGTACACAAAATATTCACTGTTTCAAGAACAATGACTATTAGTACTAAGAAGAAATCTCATAAACTGGTTTAACATGTTAAATTTAATAGAAACTTGAAGTCGTAGTGACTTCAAGGTAAGAATCTCGAAGAGCAATCGAAGCAGAATATCTGAGATAGATATAATACTAAATCGGCATTACAATAGATTTTACAATATTTATTAAAGTTCTTTATAACTATTTAATATCTATGTTTAATAAAGGCGATATGGGAATGTGGCGATATGGAACTTACTTAAAGAACATTATTTGAGTTGCGCTATACATTTCTTTTTGAGTTTTTAATTCAACGAAGCTGTTCTTTCTTAAAAAAGATAAAATTTCATCTACATCATTACTGTCAGGAACTACTATATCAGGATCATCAGTTGCCATCATGCCATCAATTTGAGCTCCATAAAACAATCGGTGATTCCCTAACCGAGAGTAGTAATATATTGAGAACTCTTCATTTTCTATTACAGGTTTTTCTTTATCCGGTTTTGACTGTGGTAAATCTAGAACGGAACATGAATATCACCATTAAAGTTAGTAACATATCTCCAACGTTATACTAACTTTTTTAAAGACTATTATATGGGATGGAAATGTCAGTCTCAAAAGTATTAAAATTGCAAATTATACCCAGCTATGTGAATCACTGTCATACAAACATCCCCAACAGGCCTTTGTCACATGTCAAGATTAGGTTACACGTGATGAGAATGGAGTACCCAGAGGGCTCTTTTTTTTTTTTTTTTTTTTTTTTGACGGGCTGGAAAATCCCTTCGGATCTCCTGCTCCTCGGGGCTAGGAGCTAGGAGTATGTGGTGATTCCACTAAAAACCACCCCGACCTCAGGTGCCCTACTCTGGGAGGACCTGGACCATGTTATTTCAGGTCCTCCCCGAATTGACACCATGCCTAGTCAGGCCTATCCCAGGGGAAAATCACTTCCCCCCTCAATCGCGACGTGGCGGCCCAATTTCGTCTTAATGCAATCAGGCCGCCATCCTATCCCCTACCGCAGCATTCAATCTGGCCCGCGGCCCCGTCGGCGGCTCGTATGGTCGCCGACGTCCTCTGCGCTCGAGATCGGGCCTGTCCCGATCCCGTTCAGCGGTCTCTTTCTAGAGCATTACAGCTTCACAGAAAGAGACGTACCCAGAGGGCCTAGTGTGAGTTCATTTCATTTCTACTCGATCGTCGTGGTGAGTGCGTTCGGCGTTGTGATTGGCCGGAACTAAGCTCTTCACCAACCTTCACTAGGCCCTCTAAGGGCTAGTGCGAGTTATTGGCCTAGAGTTCAGCGCGGCCAATCGCAACGCCGAACGCGCTAACCGTGACGATCGAATAAATCTATACTAATATTATAAAGCTGAAGAGTTTGTTTGTTTGTTTGTTTGTTTGAACGCGCTAATCTCAGGAACTACTGGTCCGATTTGAAAAATTCTTTCAGTGTTATATAGCCCATTTATCGAGGAACGCTATAGGCTATATATCATCACGCTAAGACCAATAGGAGCGGAGCACCAATGAAGAATGTTTCGAAAACGGAGAAAATTTATTACTATTGAGAGACGCAGACGAAGTTGCGCGGGTCAGCTAGTGTGGAATAAACTCGCACTTGGGTCTCGACTCAGAAAACGTTGAGAGTAAACAGCCGCTTGCATCTTGAACCTTTTGCTAAAATGCGATAGATGAAAGTATTTCTATTAATACATTCATTCGTGAGCGTAATTCACTTAAAAATGGGATACAAAGAATTATTTTTACATATTGATATATTAAATACTAGCTATTGCCCTTTATTTGCTATTGCGGCTTTACTCTCGTGATAATTTCTTATTGCCGTATTTTTAACTTTGAAAATGAATTTCCATACAACTATTCATCCCTTGTTTTACCGCCTTAGGTGTGAAATTTCTTGGTGGTTGGTTGGTGGTGGTGCTTATAACATAAAAAAGAGAAACTTTCAATTTGAATTTCAATTTGGATACATACCTATATACATAAAATAACATAGGTACATTGTATAATGATTTAATTTTGTTTAATGTAAATCTCAGACAGTCCAAATGTTCTGCTTTAATTTATGCACCAGGAAAGGAATTGAGAATGAAAATAAACATTATTTTAAGTACAGCAACTAAGTTTTCAAAAATTCTTAGCAAAATTTTCATATTTACGAAGCTATACTTTTATTTTTAATTGAATATTTATACAAGTTATTAAAAAAATCATTTTATTATTATATTCTTTTGTTTTGCATATGTTAGCAAATATAAATTATACATACTTATAATTACATTCAGTCTTTTGTGTGCACTTACCAGTCAAAGCACTAGTCGACATAGTTATGTTTGCTCATAGTAATTGAAGTGACCAGTCATTTTAATACAAGTTTATGTTCTTCAGGCCTACTGTTTGTATAAATTTCTAATTATCCTATCATTATAGAGAATCAGTCAATTTATCCTTTAGTGGTCCACTGCTGGACATATGTAGATCTCTCCTTAGAAGGAAGAATAAATACTTTATATAACCATCTTTCTAAGGAGGTGTATTAGACTTATTATTTATATGTATATTTTATTCTTTCTATTTCTTATTTCAGATATGTAATATATTGTATGTGTATGTAATAATTATTTAGTTTCTATCATCTCTACACCATATTTATATATATATATATATATATATATATATATATATATATATATATATATATACATTATAACATTACATTTTAAAAGTATTCTGTGCAAAACTATCATACTGACACAAACTTCTATATCCTCCATATGTAATCATCACTTATATTTATTTCTAGGTGTATAGAAGATTATATTTTAAATATCAGCATATATGATTTTGGATATTGAGTTCAGAATGATACTTAAATCATGTACCTACAATTTTCACTTTAATGAAAATATCTTATGAGGTGAATAGATATTCAACAAACTACACAATGTACAGTTTACTAACTACTACTTTACATACACATTGAATAATTGTACTCAAGGCATTAACATTTCATACCTGACAACATATACTGTTCAAATTTATAACCCCAAGCGCGGAATTTGTCTACTTCACTGCATGACTGCCTCCTCAAAATTTCTTGTGGTGATTCCAATGAACATAGATATATGCAGTTATTGAATAAACTTGCCACCATACAGACTGGTGTGCAGTTGTATATATTGCACATAATATTTATTAAAGTTCTGCGATAACTAATAAAAAGAATCTCTTCAGTAACTAAAGATTTCAACCGGTGTTTTTGATCTAAAATAAACTTTAATAATAATGTGATTTTTTCATTATTTTCTTCAGTAGTTCTTTTTATTGCCTTATGAATATTGTGATTTAAATCAAAATGTAGGCGTCCTTTCGGAATAGAAGTCAAAAACTTTAACTGTGATAGATCATGGTGGTATTCCCGCAATACATCTACGCTCATATAGCCTACGATTATGGGTTTCTCCAATTTTAGAACTTTAGCAGGCGGGGTTTTATCTTTTTTACGAATTTGATTAGGTGTTACAATATTTGATTTTAGTACATCACGATGCATGATCGTCAGATTATTGTATTTTTAGCAAATATCGGTAAGTGTCACACTCACGTAATAAAACAATAACAGTTCAACTTAATTTTTTTATATGAGAGAAACCCATTTCAGTCGTTAACATACAAGAAATATTATTAGTACCTATGTTGCAATAAGTATCAAGTAGGTAGTTATTATTGACACTCAGTCGATAAGATTATTAACAAATAATATAAATCCACAAATCTCTCAACTTGCAAAATCAATCAATAATATTCTACAATCTACAGTGCAGTGCAGTGCAGTCAGTGCAGTGGTCTCGAATAGAGTTGTGTAGCTCCTGAGTGAGTGATATAAAAGATATATATCATTCACGACGATAAAATGTGTCACTCACTCACACTAGCTCCGAATATATCAGTAACTCAGTACTAGCTCACTAGATCATTAGATCACTAGCTCAACGACGCCGATCTTTGTTTCATGAGCGAGTGAGACTAACGATAAATGAGTGAGATAGATGATGATTGAGTTCACGCAAGTTTCTTTATGCAAAATGTACATTATTTCTATAGGATCAAAGTTTAATATTACTTAAGAATTAAGCCTGCCAAGTACAAGGAAAATCAAATTATGTTTGATTTCTATTATACAACCTAAAAAAAGTACAAGAAATAATTTCTTATTTTTAATTATTATATAAAAGGGTGTTAATAATTATGTAATCTTATGAAAATGAAAAAAAAAAAATGAAAAAACATAGGTTAAGAATGTAGTTTCAAAAACTGAATTTAGGTTAATATGAAAATAAAGAAAGGTTTGTATGGCGAGAGAGGCTTAAAGTGAGTGATATGCGAGTATACTGAGCTAAACGATCTAGATGAAGAAATGAATTAATTGAGAGACCAATCAATTGAATCGGATCAATGAGCTAGTGAGCTAAATGAGTTAGTGAGCTAAATGAGTTAGTGAGCTAAATGAGTTAGTGAGCTAAATGAGCTAGTGAGCTAGATGAGTGATATATATCTTTTGAGCGAAATGATATGTATCAATCTTTTCAGCTCAGTGATACATTTTGCGCATCACTAGTCTCGAACGCTCAGATCGTTAGAGTTGCCACCTAAAATCGGTATATTTGTACTCAAAATCGGTATTTGACAAAAAAATACAATATTCAATCAAATTCGTTTATTTATTGAAAAAAACTTACAGACTAATTTATAATAATCTCACAAGTATAATTATTTATTATACCAATATTCTTTGGCCATCGCTACTACATACTTGCGCTAGGTTCCTCATTTGAGTCTATTGATAAATTCATCTCTTATGTAATATTTTCAGAAAAAAGGCAAGACGTAATCACAGATTACCCCGTAGGGGTTTATCTGTGCACGTAGTATATTTAGCTTGATATTACTTGATATTTTTCAGTCAAGAATCAGAAGAAGAGGCATTTGTGCAAGTGCAGTTTTAATAGCAGTCGGAAGAAAGTTTCGTAACCTTCGCAAAGATCCTGCTGCAGCGAATACTTTGCGGTTTACCTCCTGAATCTGAGGTCCATATGATAAGGTGCTATCGATTATAACTCCCAAGTTTTTGACTTTGCCGTTGATTGGTATAATAGTTAAATTGAACCGGAGGCAAATGTGACCAATTAATTTTAACAGACATTATGGGACCCCCAATGACGCATACCTGTGATTTTGTGGGATTAATTTTGAGTCCATAGTCATTGTTCCAAGAGAGTCCATACTCCAAGCACTTATGTGCTTCAGATCTAAATTAATAATATTATGTCATAACGTACTGACAGGTGCATTGGTGTATATCTGCAAATCAACAGCATACAGGTGGTAGGATAAAAGTAAATGATTAGATATAGAATTAATAAAGAATGCGAACAGTAATGGAGATAGAACGCCACCCTGCGGGACACCGACAAACAAACAGGTAATTGTGGAACCAATCAATTAAACCTCGAGATATGTTAAGAGAGCGAAGAATGCCAAGGAGAATATGGAAATCAATGGCATTAAATGCGTTACTGAAGTCGATTAAGAATAATACCGTTACGTTTCCACTATCCATGTTTTCTCTAATGTCATCTGTAATGTGGACAAATGCTGAGAATGTACTGTGTCCTTGACGGAAGCCAGACTGAAAAGGATTTAGTAGATTGTTCTTTTACACTTGTCGAATTGATTATAAAAAAGACATTCAAGAACTTTAGAAAGCAAGATAATATATGTCGATATTCAGAGAAGAATGAAGGTTTCGATCTTTTTGGTAAGAAATAATTTCAGTTGCTTTCCATGCAGATGGGAAGACGCGTAGGATAAGGAATGTTTAAAAATGTTACATAGAACAGGGAGAATATCATCAAGGATGGGGACAATCATTTTATTACTGAGGCAGTCGCTTCCCACCGCATTAGATGAGATTGAAAGTATGGTCTTCCTAACATCACAAGTTGCCAATTGATTAAAAATGAAAGGAAAATAGTAAGGAGTTTGAATAGATGAAAGATATTTTAAAGTTTTAGCTTTTGTTGTCTCATCAATATCAGACGAGGAGGAAGAATGCTTGTTAAGTGAATCAAGATTACAGTCCTTTAGAAATAGGTTTTGGTTAGATTTTCCAACTCCTAATGTTTTCAGAAATTTCCAGATCTTCACCGGATCATTGTTTTCAACAGATTTATGGATGTGTTGGCGTTGCGCTTCTCTACAGAACTTATTGCAGTATTGTATTTGTCGAAGTTACTTTGAGTAGGTCGACGTTTGGCCAGCCATCATATCAAATTTTTTAGATATGATGGCTCGTATTTCATCGGTGAGCCATAGAGCAGACAAATGCTTTACTTTTACAGTACGAAGAGGTGCATGAATATTATATAAATTAATTAAGTTTTCATTTAAAATGTTCACTTTTGTATCAATACAATCCGAAGATAACAGAGGTTGCTAGTCGATGCTTCTAACATCTGCACATAGCTTTTCCCGATCCATGCTACCAAATCTGCGCTGCATGTCAATTTTAGGTTTTAAATTAGGAGGTCGAAGAGCGTTAGCCACGTTACCTACCGACTGACGCACGTTATCACTGGCCATGGCTGCTTCGGTGAGTACCTGAATCGGTTTGGACGCGAGGAGACGGCACAATGCCAGCACTGCGTAGACGATTGGGACTCCGCCCAGCACATGCTGGAAGACTGCCCCGCGTGGGCGTCTGAAGGCGAAGTCTTGGTCGACCAAATCGGACGAGACCTGTCCTCGCCAGCAATTATTGCTGCCATGCTGTTGGGTGAGGAGGGGTGGGGCGCAGTGGTCTCTTTCTGTCTCTCTTGATTTCAAGCAATTTAAAAAAAAAATGAAATAAAGAGAGTTTGAGTTTGAAGCTGTAATGCTCCAGACGGAACGGGATCGCGAGAGGGCCGATCCTGAGCGTAGAGGACGTCTGAGGATACCAGCCGTCGAAGGGGCCGCAGGCTGCCAGAGGAGGGGACTTCTGGGGCCACATTAACTGCTGCGGTAGGCGATAGGATGGCGGCCTGGTCGCAAAAATTGATCAAGCCGCAACATATTAAAAGGATGGTGCCGATAGGTGGGGGCAGCCCGCAATTTCCCCGGGATAGGGCATTACTAGGCGCGGACTCGATCCGGGGGGGACCTGAAATAACATGGTCCGGGTCCTCCTCGGAGTAGGGCGCCTGAGTCCGGCCGTCGTTTTTAGTGGAAACACTACATACTCCTGGTTACTATTTCCACCCCGTCAACAAAAAGAAAAGGAGCTC